AGTACGTAGATGGGTCTGTTGCTTAAGGGACACTAAACAGCTGGCATAACAACGCTAAGCTTTTCTGTTGACAAATCGTAAACAATTCTTGTGCAAGCACATAAAATGCAAAGTACACCCAGTCAAAATAGTATACCTACCACGGTTGCCACACACTTGGAGAATATGTTACCAAAAATGCCCTTTCCTTCCCATATTTCATACAAAAAAAAAAAAGCGCATTTGCATTTGATTTGTTTTATTTATCTTTAGAATTTTCTTTGTTAGTAGCTAGATTTTTTNATTTTTTTTTTTTCTGTCCTTAGCTCCTTGTGACACATATGTTAGTGTTTGTACAATTTCGTAGGTATCCTCAACAACATATTCATTCCGTAAGAAATTTGTTACGTGTATATATTTGGTCATAATTTTTTTTTCATAAAAGTTATTATTATTACTTTTTTTTTAAATATTACTGACATCTCAATGGCTTTAAATCGCGTTTTGGGCTAATATTGTTGTACGTTCTATTAGCAATTATTGCGGAAAAAAAATTTTGTCGGAATACATCGAGACTGAAGGTATTCACGCTTTTCTCTTGACGCCCAATGTATTTTGTATGGAAAACGTTTGCCGTAGATATTTACCTCGCATGCATTTTTCAACAAGTATCGATTGACACCGAGTCTAGCGCGCTTGCGATACTCATTTCATCGTTTTCCAAAAAAAAAAAAATACGAGTAATAAGAAATATACCTGTAGATATTCTTTTTGTCCATCTATAAAAATGTTTGCTATGTTTGAAATGCAACCCTGGACACCAGCTGGCAGGGAAACTTGCAAATTCCTGTAAATTGGCGTTTGCGCAGAAATTTGCAAGTTTTTCTACTTGAGCGAGAATTTGAAAGAATTTTTTCTTACTTTCTGATATTTTAAGTGATGGATAATACTTGGTGGATTTTCGACGACGGCGTTCGCGTACACAAAAAATTTGCAAAGTAGGGGAAATTAAGAGAGCGAAGTGACATTTAAAGTTGTTTACTATATTCCTTGGACTCGGACTAGTAAAACTGTCAAAAAATAAAAATTCGCTCAGAGCGAGAGAGTAACATTGAAAAGTACGGGATCGCTTTCTAGTAAAAAATGGTAACTTCTGTCAACTTCAACATAACCTCCAAATTTGGGTTGTAAATTTTTGCTTATATTGTATGTAAACACACTCAGTTCACACATGTAAATAGCCAAAAATACTTTCAAATTCATTAGAATCCACTTAAACAAGTAATTAAATACTTTTCAACATGAATTAGCAGAGTGAACTTTTCTTTTGTTTACAATTTGGTTGCCAAAAACACACTACAGCTGATNATACTTTCAAATTCATTAGAATCCACTTAAACAAGTAATTAAATACTTTTCAACATGAATTAGCAGAGTGAACTTTTCTTTTGTTTACAATTTGGTTGCCAAAAACACACTACAGCTGATCGTTTGACACATTTACCAGAATTTACCAGCAAAAAATTCTCGGACTAAAACTGGTAACTTCTGACAGAGAGAGAACCGAATTTACTCTCTTTTTTGTCCTCTCAATAGTCAGAGAACCGAGTACGGGATCGATTTCCAGTAAAATCTGACTGATTCTGACTATTTCTGACTAGTCCGGACTCGTACGGGATCGCAACTATTGACTTTGACTATTGTTTGAAAATTTGATTATCTGAATGCAGCTTATCTCATTTATTAAACGTATTTTATTAGTTTTCAGGCGTACAATTAGTAAGTTTACAATTACACTCATTTGCACATTTTATTGCAACAATTTAATACTTCCACATTTACATCGATAAATGAATAGATCTGTATAAAAAACTTGTAATTTCATCTATAATTGATATGCAGGCGAGAACATCGGTTCACCAGCCAGTCCGCGCAAAACATTATGCGCAGCTATTGTGGCCATATCGTTGCGAGTGCGCTCGGTGGCTGAGCCCAAGTGGGGAAGAAGAACTGAAAAGAGAACAGAAAGCGGAAAATAGTTTAGAGTGAGTTGAAATATGTACTTCTTATTATATGAAATTATTTTTGTAAAACCAAGGGAAATCGAAATATTTGAGCTGCGTACTATCACACTAATGCGAACGTTATATAAAAAAGGCTGACAACGAAAATGTAAGCCACTCTATTTCCGTGACAACATCAAGTCGCAAGCCACTCTTAATAAAAAATAATTATGCAATAATAAATTCTGCGTTCTCAAGAGAGGTGTATCAATTTGACTTTGATCAACTAAGACAACCATAATTTTTTCTGCCTTGGGTGCGAAAACAACCCAAAAATCAAGTGGTTTTTCAAAGACTTAATATCACAAAATAATAAAAACAGCAAAAACGTGTTTCCTTTCGATAAGATTGCGGAGATTTAGAGCACTTTGGTGGTCGTTGAAAACAGTTCAGATAAAAATAGTCTTATCAGCACCTTGCGAGCCAGTAGGTACTCATTATCAGTAACTCTTTAGACTACAAAGAACATGTATACACTTATTCATCGCAAGAATGCCTGAGGCAAATGCAATTCTGCAAAATTTATGGCAAAAATAAAACATATCGCCAATTTATGCCGCAACGCCAACTAAAATTAACTCACCAATATTTGGTAAACTCAAAAGCGGATCATCGGCGGGCAGTGGTTCCGGAGTCATCACATCCAAACCCGCAGCGAATATTTGTTTTGTTTTCAGAGCTTCATACAGGTCCGGCTGGTTCACAACGCCTACATAAATAAATAATAAAAAAAGTTCTACCTAAGCAAACATTTTTACATTTCACCACAACTTCGATACTCACCACCGCGCCCAATATTCACCAACACAGCGCTCTTCTTCATTTTACCAAAAGCGCTGGCATTGAAAACACCAGCCGTCTCATTGGTGAGGGGCGATGCAATGACAACGAAGTCACTTTCCGCCAGCATAGTGTCGAAATCAACTTTTTTGGCAGAGTACTCCTTCTCGATATCCTCCGAAACGCGACGCCTTGTCGTGTAGCGCACGCTGTCAATGTCGAATCCTTTCAGGCGCTTAGCGATTCCCTGTGCAATACCGCCGAAGCCAAAGAAACCGACCACGGAGCCCCGCAAGTCTTGGCCCAACATCCAATTCAGATGGAAGCTCTCCCAGGTGTTCCTACAGCCGATAGTAAAAGCAAACGTTTGCCAAATTTTAACTCTACCTTAACATAACAATACCTACGTTTCGATCTTCAAACGGCCTTCGTGGAAACGACGCGCTGCCGCCAACAACAAACCGACCGCTGTATCAGCTACGGCTTCGTTGAGCACTGTGGGCGTGTGACCAAGCGGAATTTTTCGGCGCTTCACTTCCGCCACATCCACGTAATCTATGCCCGCCGACATGGTGGAAATCGATTTCAACTGCGGACCGGCGGCATCCAATGCCTCGGCATTAAGCGCCTCATGGCCACCCCAGAAGAAGGCATGTACACCCTTAGCCTTCTCCAAAATTTCCGAACGTTTCGGTGGCAAACTCTGGACAACGATTACCTCGCAGCTGCGCGACAGCAGATCAATGGCAACCTGAGGCACTTCTGGGTGTGTGACTAGAATCTTGAATTTCTCCTCTTCACCGGACATTTTGCCTTTCGTTTCGGAATGAGCGGCAACAACGCGCACGCAAGCGATGGCAAGGGAGGCGCATGTGAACAGAAAAAGAGATAAGTTTCGTATAAGCATTTTGTAATTATTGATATCACTAGTCAAAAAAGAAATAAATATTTATTTTAGCGGAGATTAAGTTTTCTCGGGAAAATTTTCAGAAGTTCTTTGTGCTTCAGCGTCTTAATATCAACTGAACCAACTATGCAGCTCAAAAATGTATTTGCCTTTTTTAAACCGGCTTTTGTTGTTGAACCCCTCTCGNGCGTCTTAATATCAACTGAACCAACTATGCAGCTCAAAAATGTATTTGCCTTTTTTAAACCGGCTTTTGTTGTTGAACCTCTCTCGGCCACTCACTTACAAGTCGCTCTTAGCTCTTTCGATGACGCCGTCGTAAAACTGGAGGATATATAGCGCAGAATTTTAGTGGGCAGTAAGCGGCTCTGCTGCGAAACGAACATTTCTTGCTGCTGGGTCTGAGTGCATTTGAAAAAGTAGCTGTTGCAAGCGACTACTCGGTCAAGTTGTTGGACGTTTTTGAGAGTGTGTGTGTTCCGCGAGAGCTTTAGATCACACATAGACTTTTGCCCCCACACAGTTAGGCGCTCTCTAAAGTTACTTATCGTAACCAGCGTTTACCTCTCTGGATATTTTTGATTTGATCGATACAGTGCAGCAGTTTTGTGAAATTGCGAGCCAAAACAACTGAAATTTGAAGTACATGCTATGTATACTTCGATTTCATTTGAAAGTGTGAAATAATTAAAAAAGTACTACGTGGGCGTGGCTACTTATTTTTTTTAGTCCAGACGCNGTGTGAAATAATTAAAAAAGTACTACGTGGGCGTGGCTACTTATTTTTTTAGTCCAGACGCATAAATTTTGAAAAAAAAAAAAATACAAAATAGTGAAGACATCCTAAAAGGTAAGGAAATGTACTGTTCAACTATAAAAACGTAGCCCTCCCAACCTAACCTAGCCTGAGTTGACATGTGGAAACGCAGTTTTATGAACAAGTTGAAATTGTCTGGATAATGCAAAATTTTTGCACAGTTTTGTAAATTACATACTTGACTCGTGAAATTTCTTAATTTTGTTACTTCGCTCAGTAAAAATAAAACACGCTAATCCCATAACTACAGTAGTAGTGAGATAAAGGTTAGGAGCATAAAAAATTTATGTACTCACTTTAATTTAGATATAAGTCATATGGTTTGGAGGGCCATTTCATAATTTGGTGTTAGTGAGTTGCCATTCATTAAGGAAACACTTTAAGTGCTAAATAACAACATTACCCAGAATATTGAAGCCCTTGTCTTCTGTGCAATTAAATTGGGAGGGTATAACAACTCTGAGGTAGCCAGGGAATAGCCCAGATTTGGATCTTATGCAGAATTGCTGGCCTATTTTCAATAAATATATGAACAAGAGAAGCGCTTGGAATAGGATAGACTTTGTAAGAGCCAATCTTAGACGCGTGGAAAAACAATATAACGATTCAATACTACCAAATTCTAGTAAACTCGATGCCGTGGGGTCACACTAAATACTTATTAAAATTTTAAGTGTCCTTTATATAATTTTACAATTTAAAAATTTTTTGTTTGTATGTGTCACACACGCAATGCTGTACAAATATTTGCTTGCCTTTGGAGTTTGGTTTCTCATTTTTAGTTTTTTTGGTTATTTGTATGCCACATTTACTTTATTATTTATTGCTCATAAAAAATAAAGTAGGTTTAAAAAGTTTTATAAATTGGCGTTTTCACACATTCTTCTATTTATAAAACTTTTTAAAGCTACTTGATTTTATATGAATAAGGCTATTAGATTATAATCATATTTTTGTATTGTTTATATGGGGTCAACACAAATTCGAATTTGCACAAAATCTTCACTTATGGCCCACTGTGCTATAGATTCTAAAAGTTCTATGCTCTCGCTTCAAATTCAAAATTTCTCACTTACCAACTTATTCTGTATATACCTATGTACTTTTGTTTTTTTTTTTTTGTATTCAGCCCAGCTGCCTGCCCAGTCAACTTTGCAACTACACGATCAGCGTTCTACTAAATGAGTTTGCTCAAAAGCCGTCAATTTTATAATCAAATTGGTTAGAATTTTAAAAATTTTAATTGCAGTGAAGAAATGTGTGTAGCTGGCACTTGCAGATAACATGTACATGCATACATACATACATACAGACCTACCATACGTACCTAATCATGTTTTCAAGTAATCTATTATCTCGGTAATAATCATTGTTTGATCATTTTGCACGCTCCGCGAATGTCATTTGGTGGGCTGCATGCGACTTATCTAAATTTTTTTTTTTAATATATAAATGTTAACTCATGGACTGATTACTTAAAATTAATAATTAATGATTAAGCTGGAGGGGAATCCCACACACTCTCATGTTGCTCAGTAGTGAACAAAACGGTACATGTGAGAGAATGTTTTTGCAATCCGAAAATGTAATTCTCTTGCATTGCTGTGCTTGTGAAAAAAATAAAAAAATCTGACACTTTGACTAGAAAATTATTTATTTAACAATACAAACTTGGCCACCACATAGCTTTGTTTTTCTCACGCATAAATCTCTGTCGATACATTTTTCTGGTGCAAAATTACACAGTTCGTTTTTAATTTGGATTGTGAGAGACTTTAATGCACCACATATATGTATGTATGTACAATCGATAAAGAGCAATAAATTTAATTAATTGAGAGCAATATTCCTTTGCATTTTTCGACACTACTTCGATTTCGAGCCTGGCGAAGCAAGAATAGCAAATATACAAATGAATTCTCTCATCATTTTTACTAAAATTGTTTAAACATTTAAATATACATATATATTTTAAGTTTGATATTTTTCATGCTGGCAAGATTCTCTGTTGGAAAGCTCAAAGCTTCAAGAGCAACAATAAACCAAATACATTTGGGTGCTGTTAAGTAAGCTCTATCATGCTGCTATCGGAACTGTATACAAATGCACGCATATACATATCTACATATGCATATGTGTGCAGGCTTTGTATACATATACTATATACAAGGTGGAGCAAAATTAATCATCCAATTTTGTTTTTGAATAACTTTTTACTAAATTAAAAAAGTGTTTTGAGTGATGGAAATCTTTATTTCGACGGTGCTTTGGCAAAACGTCGTATCTCAAAACACTCTCAAACAATGCCCTCTAACAAAAAACTCTCTTTTACTCACTTTCACTTTTTAACTGTATATTAAAGATCATGTACCCCAAAACCCACCCCTTGTGTGCGCTAATGCAAAGTGCTCAACTTTAAACACTTTGTGTGTAGTTTTTCTCTACGTGGCACATTTAGTATGTAAAAGTAAACAGACAGTGTTTTATTTTGCACACACTAGGAGAGGAAAGAGGTTACCTCTCTTTATATGCGTAAATTTAAACAAAAATTTTCTAGAGGAAATCTTAAGCATTTTATGTGTAAACTGTGAAATTGTGAACAATAAATGTTTAGAGCTCAAAAAACAAATTTGAAATTTATTCTACGCCACACATATGACAAGTAAAAGTAAGCAAGCAGTGTTTAATTTAATTAACACGGTGTGTAAAATTTTCATTCATTAAGAGAGGAAACTGGTTACCTATCTTAAAGGGTGAACACACCAAAACTGCGACAGTTAGAAATTACTACCAGAAACAAACTAGAAGGCTTTGAAATTATTTTTTTTGTATTATATAACTTGGAACTTGGGACTACTTTGTTTTGCACTCTTCAATATTTTTTACTGTTTCACCTGTTTTCTTCAAGATTCCTTTGACAATTGACCAATATTCCNCTCTTGGCTATTGGGTGGATTGCAGTCGTGAGGTACAAAATTGATGTTATTTGCATTATACCACGGCAATGTGTCCTTGGCATAGTGGTAGGTTGCCATGTCCGCCTAGAACAGTGGCCTACTCTTTATCTGTTGATAAATGACAGAAGACGCTTTTTGAGGCACTCATCCCGATAAACTTGATCATTCATTGTCCCGGATGGGAAAATAGGGCTGCTCTTACGGCCACAGGAACAAATAGCTTGCCAAACCATGTGGTTTTTTGGAAATTTCGACTTCATTTTTAACTTACAACTCAGGGGCATCTTGACGACTTGCAGCAGTATAAAAATCTTGACCTGCAATATATTTTGAATTTTTATAGCAGTAGGTTTCGTAGTCCATAACAATGCAGTTGTATTTTTTAATTTAGAATTCATAAAACTTCCGAATGCGGGATTTCGCTGTAACATTCTACTTTGCGGCTCGGTCTGGCGCTGTTTGAGCTGTATAACATCTCAATGAAGCTTTCCGCTTTACCTTTTGTACGAAAAACTGCGATCCCCGTACGGATTTTGTAACATAACGTGACAAAATCTTCGGATCTCGCGAAAACGCACTGAGGACCTACCGAGCACCGAGCACTTTTATCACTTTGACCATGCTAACCCCCGCTCCCTGGTTTTCTCGTAACTGGCAGGCCTTATTTGTACCGATTAAAACCCTGCAAACTGTCGAATAGTGCAATCTTAAATTTTTTAACAATTTTACGTTTACTTAAGGCCGGATCATTTACAAACTCGTGCAAAATGGTTTGTCTCGTTTCTAACTCGGTTGCCATTTTTAACTCAACTAGGAATCAAATTCAAATGAAATTTCTTCTACGTCCAACTAAGATCATGGTCAGCTTATGGTATTTGAATTTCAAAATATTGAATTCGTTTTGGGTAAGTTATAAGCTTCCCAAAGTGTCGCAGTTTTGGTGTGTTCACCCTTTAATATGCGTAAATTTAAAGAAAAATTTTTTAGAGCGTAATACCAATTTTCTTTTGTTCCGTGCGGAATGTACTTAATTAAAAATTGTTTACTGAATGCTTTAGAACATGCCAAACTTAACTTAGGGGTATTTAGGCGTTCGAGACAATTTTACCAAATGAGTGTTAAAACCATTTCATTCTTATTTCCTATCTGGTGCAATCCGAACAAAAAAAATGCACACCCAATTCCTGTATTTTGTCTAGACATTTGCCTAAATGAATTCATATCCGTTTACAACAGACGACTTCCGCCTCTGAGCTACCATTTTCATGCAACGAGCAATAGGCAGTTGCACGAGTGGGTGCAACAATCACTCAACGCTGCCTGTCGGTGCTGTGGTCCAAGTGTCATTTGAGCGCAGTTGAGCAAAGCTGTACCCCAAAAAATACGCGATACCAAACGCTTTGACGGCGATGAGGATATTGAGTTGCCAAATGTGAGGCGTGTGCCTTCGCAGATTGCCCAGAAGCTACTAAAAGACTGCAAGCATATGTTGCAAGTGCATCTGGAAGCAAGTGAATGCATACAACTGCATATGCTTACAGCGCAACAAGCTTTAAAAACTCAAAAAAATAAATGTAGAAGGAATGCCGCCACAGCTTCCACCAGCTTCTGTGGGGAACAGCAGGGGTGAACCTCTGCCTACAACCACCTGCAACACTATTAGCTCAATCACGAGTCAGTTGTGCGGTCAACCAAATGCCAATTTGCCACGAGTAGCGCCACGATTTCCCAATTGGAATGGAGGGAGCAATGCCGACATGAAGGGCTCCAAAGCGCACATTAGCGGCAGCACAGTATCTCCTCCTTGGATGCCATTGTCGCCACAGTGTTCCCCGCTGCATGGCTGCGTGGGCGTACGCTGGCCACATGGGAAATCCCCAACTGGTATTTTCAACAGGCAAACAGCCAACAGCGCAAGCAAAGCC